TAAACTAAAGTCAAATGGATCAAAGATCTATATATTAAAACAGAAACACTAAATCTATTGGAAGACAAAATAGGTAGAAATCTTGAAGACATAGGGGTAGGCAGAGAATTCATGAACAAAAACCAAACTGAATGGGAAATACTTCCCAGAATCAATAACTGGGATCTCATCTTATTAAAAAGTTTTTATGTCAAAAGAAACCTCAACAGAGTGAAAAGAAAACCCATGAATTGAGAAAAATATCTTAGTCAAGTGTCCCTCAGGCAAAGTTTTCCTTCTAGAACATATAAAGAATTTTAAAAAATCAGACCCCCAAAATCCAAATCAGGCCCTCAATCCAAAAATATACATCTGAGATGATTATACCCTTCTCTGCTTAAAAAATACAAATGGCAAAGAAATACACGAAAAAATGCCCAACATCACTTGTCATTAGAGAAATGTAAATTAAAACAGTCCAGAAAGGATGACTGCCATCAAGAAATCAACTAATAACAAATGCAGGAGGAGTTGTGGAGAGAAAAGAACTCTTCTCCACTGTTGGGGGGCGTGTAGACTGGTACAACCACTGAGGAAATCAGTGCGGAGGTTCCTCAAAAAGCCCCGTGTGACCCAGCTATTCCACCTCTGGGCATATTCCCAGAAGAACTGGGAACATCATACCACAGTGATATATGTGCGCCCATGTTTATAGCAGTTCAATTTATAATAGCCAGATCTTGGAAAAAACCCAGATGCCCATCAACTGAGGAATGATAAAAAAAAATACGGTATTTTTATACAATGGGGCACTACTTAGCTATAAAGAAGGATCACACTGAGGTTTTTATAGTTAAATGGATGCCATTTGAGACCATACTCATAAGTGAAATAAAACCAAACTCACACGTGTAAATGCTGCATTGTCTCCCTAGTGTAAGAAACTGAAAGTGTAAGTAAGATCTAAAATCTTCCATAAGTATTATGAAAGGATAAAAAGCTGCTCAAAGGGAAAAAATAACTCAGATAAGATGATTATACTACTAAATTAGTTCTTGGAACAAAACAGTTAACACTCATAGGATTAGATCAACTTTGAGCCTCTCTAACTGATAATCTTACGTAGTTGTCTTTTGAAGAAAACTATGCAAAATAACAATCTTCATTAAGTTCCTACCACCTCATTTTGAAAGCCTATATGCTATTGTTTGGGGGGGTGTAATTATTATTTGTTTCCTTTGGTTTTTTTTTTTTCTTATATTTTGTTTTGTTTCCTTCTTTAAAATTTTTTTTAAAAAAGTACTCTTAAAGGCAAGACAAAGTAAAGAAGAGTTTCCAAGAAGAAAATATCCACAAAAGGATGGAGAAGTAAAACATTATCAAACCTGCATTCTGAAAAGCAAAAAAAAAAAAAAAAAAAAAAAAAAAAAAAAAAAAAAAAAAAAGAATTAAAAAAATCAAAGACTGTAAACGGTCCCTTTCTCTCTTCTTAGATACTCCCTCCTTCCTTGGAGTAGATATGGAGTCCATTGTTTATCTCTTTCCTCCCTTAGGCAGTGGGTAAATCTATAAATTCAATCATGGACATATGATAAAATAATGTAAGTTTTGCTTTCATTGGTTGTCTCTGAAATATAGGATTCCCTACTTTTATTTTTCCCAAATTTTATGTTAAGATTCTCTGTTGAGATTAAAGGTTTCATTAAAAATACTTTATTTAGAAAACATTGAAGAGAGAGATTCAGTATGATCTACTTTAGTCAAAAAGGGCTTTAAGACCCTTTGGACCACATCATGTCCAAATTTTGGGTCCCAGAAAAAGTACCCATAATACTATTTTCAGTGGTTATTTACCCAATTTAAAAAAAAAAAAAAACAAATGAGTCTAACATTGAAGCCTACCCAAAAAGTCAATGAAGAAGAGGAGTCATGCATAGCCCAGTTCTGCTGTCATCCTTTGCGTGCGTGTGTGTGTGTGTGTGTGTGTGTGTGTGTGTGTGTGTGTGTGTGTGTTGTAGTTGTTACTAACAGCAGTTTTAAAAAATGCCCAGTGTAACACTGCAATGAGTGTGTAGGTCAAACCCTAATGTGGAAGACAGAATGAAGCATTTTCTGTACTTTTGGCTGTGTAACCATTTCTGAGGGCCTAAGAAAACTTCAGGGAACTCAAAGCTTTGAGTATGATTTCTTCAATAGGCTCTAAAACACTTCTGCTGCAGATCCTTCAAACTGTAGACAACACAAATGCACAAGGAGCCACAGCAGGCTCCTTGGCTTTTTCCTCTCTCCGAGTCCATTCTGGGGGCGGGGGTACTTTCTGCAATTTGGACACTAATGTATCTTCCAAGTCTTTCAGAACTCGTTTCTCTGTTGTGACTGCATGCTGCATATAAAACTCACCTGAAGGGCACTGAAATTTTTAAACACCATACTAGAAGCCTAAGAAGATAAAACTAAATAATGGTTGGAAATTAAAGATTAAGACATAGCATTTAGGACACCAAACAACGCTGCAAAGCAGACGGAATATCTGTATACACAAATAGATTCGTGCAAACGGTATACATATACCTTTCCATTTAGGCAAAACTACCAGAGAGCAAGCAGCACACGCGGCTAAATCAAGTTTTACCTACACACGGTTTAAAGTATCAACGTACATTGTTCTTAAATACAAGTTGAAAGTAAGTTATGTAAAACGGAAAGTGGTAACCAAAAGGACCTCCAGGACGCACCGCACCCGCGCATCTTGCCAAGCGCAGAAATGGCATCCGGATCCGTGGGTCACTGCGGACTGCAGAGCAGAGCCTGCTCTCCAGAGAACCCGGAGCCCTGGGCAAAATGCTTCAGGGGACGAAATGCATACAAGGTGGGAAATTGCTTCCAGAGCCTGGGAAGTAGTCTCTCCCGCCAACAAAATCGACTCTTTCTGGCTGACTTGTGCTCGCTCCCACCCAGAAAGCAGAGCTAGGGATGGGGGCGCCGCTGCGCAGTGCGCACTGCGGCCGAGCGCAGGCTGCCCTGCGGGATGGGGATGTGTGCTGCTCGGCTGTCGCAGCGCACAGGGTCAAGCGGAGGCTCCACATTCCGGGTTTGCGCGGTCACCGGCACCCGCGGCGGAGCCTGGCAGAGAGGAGGCCACGGGCGGGTGGCCAGGTCCAGAGCAAGCCTCCGCTGAACTGGCCTGCCAGAGCGCTGGCCTGAGCTCTGGCGGCGAGGGTGGCTCTGAGCATAGATCAGGGCCGCCGCATGCACCCTTGCAACGTGAGCCCTCCTTAGCCAGTTGCTCGGGCAGCCTCCCTTGGCCGGCTCAGGAAGCCCCGAGCGCGCGCAGGCTGGGGTCCACGCGGTGGAGCGAGCGCTGGTGCAGAGCCCGCAGAGACGGGCTCAACCCTGCGGGTTCCTGAAGGTGATAAATAGTGTTTGGGAAGACGCTGTGCAAATCATAAACCGCTGTGCGTCAGGACGACGATGACCTCCATCGCGCTCCCAGAATTTCTTCTCCTTGAAAGTAAAACTCCTAACAGTGTGGCTCCCAGGAGAGGCTTTTACTGACTGCGTTTCTCTCCAAAGCACAGGACTGTGCCCAAGAGTTAGTAGGTGGATCCATGAGTAGTGTTGAAGTGGATGTAAACGTACGCGCTTGGGGACGTCAGCGGCCTGGGAACATCTGGGAATGCTTGCTTTCCAGGGAGGGAAGCGACCAGCATTCACTGGGCACCACTCTGTGCCAAGTCTTCCAGGCTTTGGCAAGCACTGGGGCCCGTCGGAGCCATTCGAGGACACAGAGGGGGCTGAACAAACCGTCTAGTGCCAGCTGCTGTCCTGCAGCTCTGGTTCTGCAGGGTGCTCTATGTATACCCTTTCCCCTATACCCACGCAAACCATTTTCAATGAACACGTATTTTCTATATGCACAAGGCGCTCAGCGAGCGCAACCTGGTCGCTGCCTCGACTTGCCCAGGGTGCACAGGGCGGAAGCCTCAGGTCAGCACCCTTCCACGCGTGTCTTCCTACACCGTTCTGAACCAGTGGGTCCCGCGCCGAGTGGGGGAGCCCTCAGGCCAGAAGCCGCGGCCCGGTCACGCCGTCGCGGGTGGACACAGGCGACTACTGCACGCTCGTGGGAGGGCGTCCTCCGCGATATCTTGGGTGCAGGGAGGCGCCGCGTGTTCAAGCACGGTCCGGCCGCTGGCGAGGTCAGCGGCGTGGGGAGTCCAGCCGCCTGCCCAGCGCCTGTCCCAGCTACCGCCCGGGAAACTGGCTTCCTTGGCCAAACCACTTTGCTTTTGAGTTTCTGCTAAAATGTGGAGACTCGGATCCACACGCGGAAACGCGGAGCAACTCGGGCCGAGCATGCGCTCTGGCGCCGCTCTCCACTCTTGGCTGCCGGGCGGGGGAAAGCGCGCTCGCGCGCCTGCGCATCCGGCCCCAGGGACCCCAGTTTTTCTATGGGATTCCGAGCTGCAGCAGAGCCTCACCCGAGCGTGTCTCGGCGGCTGCTGGGCTTGCGAGGCGCGATCCCAGAGGGACTCCAGCAGCCCGGACTCTGGAAAAGGAGAGAGCCGCACGCAGAGACTGCCTCGCCGGCTCCCAAATTAAACACCTTTTTAATTTTTTTTTTAAAAAAGAACTGTTGAGTTTTGTCATTTTCGTGAGGCGACCGTGCGCAGCGCTATAACTGTAAGTGGAAAATGCGGTTTCGTTGCGTTTCTGTCTGTGGAGCACGGCAGTTGCCGGGCAGATTTCGGATGCGGTCGCAGACTCGGTTCAGCAAACGTCTGAATGAATGGGGACAAAGCCTCCTCGGCGCTGGTATCTACGCGGATTCGCCGTGGTTCCCGAAAACCTGGAGAAGTGGGTGGGGGAGCGCGTGTGGGTCTGCGGCGCGTTTGGGGATGATCTTAGGCTGGGTTTTAAATACGCAGAACCGGGTGCTTTTCGAGCTGAGGTCTGCACACAGGCGAATCCCAGAGGCAGGTCTAAGCAGCGGAGGGACGGCCGGGAAGTTTTCCGGCCGCAGATGAACTCCCGGGCCCGCAGGCAGGCTAACCTGTCGCTGGGCTAGTGCACCATCTTCTTCCCGGAGGAGCCACCAAGGTGTGCGCCGGAGAAACGCAGTGAGCTGCGGCGGGCGCTGAGGCGGACCCCAGGGGCGACTGCGGAGCAGAATGGCATTGCTGAAAATCTGAGGAGTTAGAGGCAACATAAGTACAGTTTTCAGTATAAGAAGAGAATTCCGCGTTTTTTATTTTTCGTCGCAGTGGTGAATGGGAGCAAAGATAAAGGAAGGCTCTTCTAGCGCAGCACGAGTGTGAGTAAAGCCCGAGAGTCATCCCTGAATGGGGGCCGTCAGCCCCAGACCAGGCTTGGCTTCCCTGCTCCCTTCCAGCAGGCAGGGCTCAAAGGCCGGCCCAGGCGTGTTAGCTTGTTTGGGCTTCTATAAAGGAGAAAAGGTCATTTTGCGTTTTGAGTGAAAGTGGATTGTTCCTTGCACAGAAAGTGGAAGGGGCTTTGCAAGGTCAAAATCTGGGTAGGACTAGACTGTTGAAGAACGTGCTGGGGCGTGAAGAGGGCGAGGGGAGGCTGCATGGGTGCTCTTAAGGGAGCCCGGAGCCCGCCCAGCTGGGCACTGCCTGCATGCCAGCCCTGTGCGACGCGGGAGTGGGAATCCATTTTTCTAGAGTTGCCCTCCTATCCATATCTTGGAGACTAAAATGAAATGAAATGCTGGTGGATGTGGAAAACACAAAGTATTCACTGTGTGTCATTTCCTATTTGAAGATAAGAGAAGCTAGAGAGACGTGTTGGTACATACGATTTTTAAAAAATTCTTGAAAAAGGAATTTCAGATTGAAACTAATTCAAAATGAAACTCTTGTCAAGCAGTTTACCCCCAATCTATGTGAACTGCCTCTGTGTATGTGTGTGTGTGTGTGTGTGTGTGTGAGAGAGAGAGAGAGAGAGAGAGAGAGAAAGAGAGAAAGAGAGAGCGAGACAGAGAGAGAGAGAGAGAGGGTCCTGCCTGTCTGTGCACCTTGCTCTTGAGTGTGTGTGCTCTCATCAGGCTTGGGTGTTTAATAAGCCCAGACAATGCTGCACTGAAGCAGGCGGGCAGAACGGCTGAGGGAGGCGGGCAGGAGAAGGGCAAGGCAGTTTGTGCTGGATTTCCACGGAAAAGCAGACCTGGTCTCTATGTAAAAGAGATTTCCCTCAAAGAGGTGGGATCATGACATGCTTCTTGGGCCCTTTAATAGTCCAACTACTTCCAACCCCCAAAATACATTTAGAATTTATTCAAATGAATAAAATTTGAAATTAAAAATTCAAGAATAGCCTTGGAGATCCAGCGTGGACATCCTCCTGTCTTCTGCCCCCTCATTCCTGACCGGTGAGCCATACGCCTGGCAGCGTAAGAGGGGGCATTCGTTCAGTGAATGGTGCAGATGTTTCTCTGCATCAATACAGTAGTAGAGGAAAGGAGGTTGGGGTGTTAACACTCACAGCTATTTGTTCTGAGATTCTTTGGCCCCCAGCTTGGCAAGCACAGCAGGTCACACCAGAAAAGACCTTGTAAAGTGAGGGCTCCAAACCTCTTGTTTTATAGATCAGGAAACTGAGGCCAGAATCAGAGGGTAACAAAAGTCCAGTTCTAGCCTGAGAAATAAACACTCACAAGGTGGTGTAGAGAGGTGTGCTCTTCCTGCAGCTCTGCAGCTCTCAGCATCCCCAGTGACGTTGCTGCAGTCTTCAGATCAGTGTCTGCTGCTCGGCAGGTCCTGCTCAGCCCTTTGGCATCTCTTCCTCCTGCTCGATTCTTTTTTCTTTCAAGGTTTCTGCATCTCTTTCTGTTGCCCCTGGTCTCTAATCCACCCCATCATTGGATTTTAGTCTGGCTTCCCGGCCTTCTGTGCATCTCAATTTTTCTGGGACTTTAGGATTTGGGGGAGCCCTGGCAAACCATGTGCATCAGCAGTCCTCTGTGAGAACTGTACAAGGGCCCCTCTATCTGCCCCTGTCCTCCTCCCCAGAAGCATTAGGGCACCCAGGTTGCAGAAACACTGCAGGTGCACTCCACTCCTCTGCCTGTCCAAACCCCCAGAATCACTGCCACTGCAGGGATGAGGACCTGCTGGAGGGAAGAGGCTGCAGTGTAGACACAGAGTAGGCTCTGCCAGCTCTCTCCTGGCTCCTGAAAGGCAGAGCCTAAATCCAGGATGTCAATCCTTCGTGGAAATTCTCCAGATGAAGCCACCTGCAGAGAAGGGGTGGGAGGGTCAGGAAAGCTCAGGTTAATATCTGATCGCAGTGAGGGACCTGCATCCCTGTGAACCCTGCACACCGCTGTACACACAGGCCCATCATTTTGCAGACAGAAGTCTCTTTCCTCTCACGCAGCATTTTTCCTTGACGAGCTCACCTGGCGTTATACAGTGGGCAGCATGACAGGCCTAATTTTCTTCCTCCTCTTCCCCCACTCCTCATTTTCTCTTCCTTGCCTCCTCCATTTCTCCCTCATTTTCTGTCTTTCTTCATCAAAAATTCTTCCAGGTGCCTAACAATAAAGTTCAATGTCTTGAAAGATAATCTGGGCTCTCCTGTTCTTTCTCCAAAAACACGTAATCTCTCAGACCTGGTAAACAGCCACAGCCATCCCCAATGTCCTCTTCGCTGAGATGTCAGAGAGATGTTAGCAGGGATGCTGAAGGCCCAGCTGGAGTCTCCTTCTCATTTGATAGAGGTGCTCAGCAGTCTGGGAAGTTGTTGAGACTGAGGAAGCAGATAATAATGAGTTTCTCAGCCTCCTCACCAGATGCCAGCATAACCTAGCTTCTGCCTTCTTGGTAAGCTTCACCAAACTGGGGTGAATTCTTCCTTAGATTCTATTCCTTAAAAAGTGCTGGCTAGGTATGTGGTGCCTGGCCTTGATCCCGTTCCAGGTTGTTCTGAACACCAGGTAGTCTATGTGGAGACCCAGAGTTTTTGAATTACTAAGTTCCTGACTTTGATTTTTGGTACCTGAATCACTTTCTGTAACTGGACAACAGGACCAGGAATGTTGCTGGGAAAGTTGTCCTGAGCACCTGCAGCTTCTCAAATCCAAGTGCAGATAGGTATGGATTCTTAAGATTGCAGAGGAACACCCTGAGGAGTTTCATAGGATGATGACATCAATACCAAACATGTTTCCTAATTGATGACAGAAATATCTCAGGGTCCTTTTAAAGGTATTTTTCTTTCTACTGAGTAATTTTTAAGCTCTTTAAATCAATGATTATCTGGAAATACAGGAAAGTTTTTTTTGACAGAAGGGATCTTATTCAACTAATGGCTGAATGGTTGAAACCAACATTATCCATCTCATTGAGGAGGTATAAACAGCAACTTTCCTGAAGCATCAGACAATATAGAGGTAAATTAGTGAATGACTACTATTTCTATATCCAGTGGTTAAATCACACAGCAGAGTAAATGTGCTAGATAGGGAACCATATAATTTACCAAATTCAGCACTTTAAAAATATATATAGTATCCCCGGTGCTGATAAAACAAGAAATATATATATATATATAGTATTTGTGGAAAATTTTTACCCTGAAAACGTATCTATACTAAGACAGAACCATCTACAAAGGCAAAAATTTAAATGACCCTTTTCATATTTCCACAATATCTATACAATGCATGTCTTTTATAGCAGAAACTCAATAGTTTTCAATTAAATTGCCTGTTCTGATTGTATGTACCTTGTTAATTATATTTAAAAATTAAATCATGTCTACTAACACCATGTTCAGCATTAACATTACTTTAAATATGTTATTAAAAGAAAATGTTAGACTATGGTTTATCTTATAATTGATTTTTAGTAGATATACAAAAGCATTCTGCTAGTACCTTTAAGAGTAGAATGCTCTTTAAATCACTTGTATATCCTTTTATTTTTAATGAGTAAAACAATAAATTAATTTTATTTGTTTTGAAGAATTGACACTGTTAAGTCACGGGGAAAATAGCAATCTAGACCATAGCAAGTGCACGCTCCACTTACTGAGATCGTGATCTCTTAAGTAATGGAAGTATTTCAATTATTGTAACATGTTTACACTGCAAGGGGACCACAACACTGCCTTCCTTGATTACAGTTTGTTTGTAAAGATGACTTATGATCTCTTAAGTGAGTCAGAATAGTTTGAGCTGCTCCTAGCTTAATTCATTGAGAACTTTACTGAGAGAAGGACTTGGGGGCGCTTTAGAAACTCCTTAATGAATGAAAGAAAAATGGAATAACAAATTAGTGCAGAATTCTCAAGGAGATTTGACATTTTAATGGTAAAGTACCTCTAAGTGTATTAAAGAGGTGTTCTATAACCTCATCAGCTAATTTAAAGCACACAAGTCTCATAATAGTCTGCGTGACTCTGAAAGGGCTTTGCTCTGGGTTCCTCCACACCTTGCTTTGGGGCAGTCCTACTGGTGGATCACCTGCTGTGGAAAACCCACTGTTTACTTTGTTAAAAGTAATGTTTGGTAGTTTTAATAACTTGGATTATTTCCAAGTGAAGATTCTACTCCTTTTTGTTCTAAATTACTATTAAGACTTGGAATACTCTCGTTCACCAAATGGCCCTCAGTCTCAGTGCAGCTAGTACAGTAAATGCTGAACTTTTTATAGAAAGCAGGGCTCTTTTAATTAAAAATATTTCATTGTGAAGTATTGCTCATAAAAAAGCAAAGTGTTAAGAAATGTGTTAAATTTACTTGCAATTATTGTAGAGCTATCAACAAATCCTATTTTTTCCATTCTTGCTCATATAAAAACTTTTCTGAAATAGAAATTGGTCACCTTAAATATGTTTTCTTTTTTTCTTTGGGGCTTGTTGAGTATCTCTTAAACTCTGAAAGACTATGAACTTTTGTAAATAAATTTTGTTGTTGCAAACCACTGACATGTTAAGTATGCTTTGAAGCTAGGTAATTCCTTTCTAATGTGAATAACCAGACCTTGATATTTCTGTATTTTATATTTTAGAATGTTTTTTGCAATCAATGGTATCTTACAGAGTAAACTGTGATTCTGTGGGATTCTCTGTTTTGTACTGCATTCATTTTTGACTCACATGCTTATTTCTGACATTTTTTGTCACCTATGAATTGAACTCAGGGATGCTAGACCACAAAGCTCCATCCCAGCCCTTTTTGTTTATTTACTTATTTTTCTTTTGAAACTAAGTTGCCCAGATGGGACTTGACTTTGTGATCCTCCTGACGTGGGCTTCTTCAGTCTGGAGATAGGTGTGTGCCACTGCACC